GTGTTTCCAAAATTTGAAAGAGGTGGCAGGATGCCACTGTTTACTATATGAGCAATATCTTGGCAAATAGAAAAGATAAGGTGTTCTTATTTTATATTCTAGCTTGTTAATATCAGTAATTTGAGTTCTTAATTCGTACAAAACTACAGACTTAATATTTTGACATCACAAACATCTAATTTGACCCAGTGCTGCATTCAACATAGCATGTGACACACCAAAATTGATGTTTAACTCTGTTTTTTAAAACTTATTTTTAAATTAAGAAATTGAGTAATATATAATATTAAAATGTGAATTATAATCTATAGTTTGATACCAAAATTACTGACATAAATTTATGAAACAGTAGTTCAATAAAACACAATGACATGGCCTTTCACCCATGACCCGTCTGGAAAGGGTTAATTGATGCTGACAGGGCATGTTACTCTAGACCTTTTTTTCACCAATAAAACTTAAAAACATTGAAAGACTCCAAAAATTCATTTTTTTCATTCACAAAAATTATATAAAACAAATAAAAGTTAACTTTTTTTTTAAACATAAGTATCCATGGTGAATGTCTCAATAAAAGAAAATTAAAGTACAAAGAACACAACATGATTAAGCTGTATTTTCATGACCAATGAATCAGTTTAACATTACAAATCCTCAAAGTGTAAAACATGATTACCACTGAATGTTTGACAGAAGTCCTTATAAAAAAAAATATACAAATACAATAGAAGTATTTGTAGTATCTTAACTGGGGGATTTGCTATGACCAACTCAATATATTATAAAAATCAGCTACTCTATAAGAAATATCTTAGTATTTAATAAAATAGTGAGATATTTCAGAAAACTATAGCAAATTCATACAAACACATAGATGTACATAATAAAAATAAATTTCTTGGACTTGGAAACCATGTCACCTCAGCAAAAAATACAAGCTTACTCTTAACAAATTTTTAGTGTAAACATTTAAGAGGTATTAACTTCTCTTTATTTATGAATTTCTTTCCGTCACCAAAATGTGAATATCAGTCAAGAAAAATTATGTACAGGCCTAATCTAATCATTGATTCACTACTCCTGCTGCAGTGGACTAGTTTCACCAAGTTCACAGCTTACCAGTACTGCTTGGAAAAGCGAAGCAAGTAAATAAAAGAAGCCTCATACAGTGGTGGAATTTAAGTGGTTTGTTTGTTGCTTTTGATGTACTGTGGTGAGTAAAGGACTACACATCAAAACCAGCCAACCACACTTAAGAATCATTCAAAACTTCAAGGCACTTATTAAATAGAACAATTAAAGAAATTTATGACACCCCAGAAACCAAATCAATACAGTTTCTCTGAATAACAGTTTGCTACAAATACTTCAAAATATGGGTAGCACACAAAATATACATCTAACACAATTACAGAATGATGAGAAATGAACACAACATATTGTGACCTGTCAAAATGTTATAAGAAAACAAAATTAAGGTTTTAGAGCAATAAAAAGAAGCCAAATTTAAGATTTTTTCCCTATACATAAATGATAAAAATACATCCACAATGTATATGCCTAGATATGCAGAATTTTGTTGTTATATTATTTTTGCTATAAGCTATGTCAGATACACTGGCCAATCAACTAAAAAAGAATTTGGACCAACTGTGTTAACCTTATGGCTTGTTAGAAATGACTAACCTTCTCAATTTTTAATTTTCTTGTTATCCCAAAAAAAAAACAACAAAAAATGTCAAAATAACAACCTACCCTATCAAACTTGCTAATTTTCTGGTACATTCCACCATTTGTAACAGGAGGGCCTAGTTCAAAAATGTCCCTTAACAACTCATTTTCCTGCAAAATACAAAATTAAGTAGTTATTAACATCTAAACAAATTGAAAAATTAAGTAATAATATGGTATAAATTGCTGTTTCTTAGTGAAATAAAAAAAGAAGTTTTCACTAAATAAACTAGATGTACTTCTGCAGGGTCCCCAAAATTAAGAGTAACAAATATTTTTATTTCTTGCTTTTGAAGTTCATAAGTCATGATGTGCTGTAGCTTACAGATTGCATAATTCTTCTCATGACAAATTGCAATGTTAATTGTCCTTTATATGATGTCATTTTTGTGTCTTACAGACTGACTGACAGACAGACAACACGCTACTGTATAGTGGTGCAAATGGTTAAAAAGGGTGACCCCTTTTGGAGAAATTACTTCTGGAAAGTGAAAATACTACAAAAAGACAAATTAATAATACAGGATACAGAAATAGTATTATACTGGGTTTCAGCATTTATAGTTAACTCTTAGATTTGGAAAAAATAAAAACTCTGTTACTGATCTGCCTAAATAAGAAATTGCAGTTTCTTAAATCATACACTTAAATCACAAAGTATATATCACACTTACATCCAAGGACCGTACCATAGTTAAAAAAATGTTTCCAGTATGTTTTAACTAATTTGGATCAGTTACATTTAAGCACAAGTGAACTGATACCTCCCTATTTTGCTTATTTAACAAGGTCATAGAACCATCTTTTAGTACTTCTGTTAAATTGGTCAAATAAAATGTTTAAAATAATAGATATTAATAGAGACTGACAAGTTTTCTTACTGCAAGAGAGAGAACATGCATCTTGTTGCAGAATGGAAAACTCATTTTGACAAACGAGAATTTGTAAAAGCAGTAGTGGTTTCTAATACGAATATATACCAGCTTACAGTTAGGTATTAGCATTAGGCAAATAGTGATTGACTATATTTAATTTATCACTTAGTACAGTGTTCCTCAAACCATGTTACATACAAACAAAAACAAGAGGGAATCCTCAATAGCTGTGGCACTTGAAATCTTTGGGGCAGGATTAGAGTAAATAAATCTATGATATAAACAGCCCATTTTTCTGTTTTTGAAACAACTGCAGAATAAGATATTGGTAATGGTAAAGAACTGAGAAAATACTAACTTTTCAGAAACTAAATATTTTAGCTATGTATATATGTGTGACTCGAAGAAAAATATTCTTGATCTGTATACTTGTTCATCTCTCTACAATCATAACTTCGACATTGAGCAGATAGCCCTTTGTGTGTCTTGGCATGAGCCACACAAAATACAAGTCTCTTGTGGTTCATCAATAAAGTGAAGTAGCAGCAAATGTGTTTGTTTTGGAAGTGACAAAATAATCAGAATACAGGTTAAGTATGTAATTTCAAAAAGGCACATTCTTACTACTTTTATAACACATTATTCTTTTCTAGATACTTGTCTTTTCATTTACTTTATATTTACCAAATATACACAAACATATAACGAGGGTATACGAAATCCTTTATTATTTCTAACTACTATTACTGTGCTTGTAAACATTAAAAAATGTTGCATTTTCCATCTTTTTTGTTGTAAAAATGACTACTTTGCATTATCAAAACCTCAAATATTGCTAAGTATTTTCTGGTCAGAAACTAATACAAATTCACAGACAAATTCAGGATATCTGCTGCTGTTCCTAATTTTGAACTACCAATCACAGGGAAGGCAACTTGTTGGTAGTAGCCACCACGAATTTGAGTTACTCTTCCATCATGAATAGTAGGTTTACTTATTACTATTATAATGCTCTAATGGTTTAAAAATGCAAGAACTGTTAGGCTCGACAGTAATGAGTTTCATTCCCACAACAAAAATTGAATTTTCATTTGTATAAGTGGTGCTTCCTACATTCAAAATTTAATTATACTACTTTATTATCAATGTATGTCAATAAGTTTAGCATAAAAATAATTATAATTCAAATTTTTAGGCTACCTAAGTTTTAATTTCTTAATGTCAAACAAAAATAATTAAATAAATTCTCAATCTTCATTTCTCTGTATCATGTAAAATGTCTGCACTCCCAAGTGCTCATTTTAGATTTTCTTTCTACCTTTATATGATCTTCTGAGTGTCCCACCAATTACACAGTTTCAATATAGATATTGGTAGGCAGAATATAAATTTCAAGCCTCCAAGCTTCTTGCTTTATTGAAATATAAATAAGCCGTAAAACCCACATGGTGGGTGCTTCTTGTCTCATCCTATTTCACACAAAATGTCAATAATTCTCCCAACATTCGCTATTTGAATATTTATAACCAATACAATGAGTAGATTGTTCTTTACAAGATTCGTTAAGAGGCTCATTCATTTTGGGCACTTATTAGTAGGTATTTGGCCTCAATTTTATTTTTTTGCAATTGTGTTTTTCTGCTTCAAGCAGGAAACTGAATTTTTTGCCTTATGCATTTTTGTGTTCTAAAATGTATATATGAAAGCACAAATAATTTTGATTTTAAGAACTAAATTAGAGATAAAGTGAGGCCTAACTCAGTTATGATTTTCACTCACCAATACCAAATGGGTTGTGCACTTTGCTCATGGTGTTTAGAGCCTATAGCCAAATATCTTCCATTATGCATATTGTTTTTGACAGGAGGATTAGTGCTCAAATAGATAATAAGTATAACAATAAAATTATGACTTTACGTAAAATATATACAAAAAAGTTAACAACTGAAAATTTGAAAATAAAAATTACGAGACAAGGGAAATTGTGTATCAAACGAATAAGGAAAATAGGTACTGTTCATTCTATTTCATATTTTCAACTTTTCAATTCACTGTACATTGGTCATTATTAGTCAGTATTAAAACAGACAAAATAACAGATAAAAATGAAGTTTTACAAAAACACTTGATATTCATTTAGGACTTAGAGGTTATGTAAATGAATTATCATACCATAAAACAAAACAAATATATATATTTTTTTTATTCTTAACACTAAAATCGCCTTGCACTCAGACTAGTCAGAGTCTGATTCAAATTGATTTCGTAATTCACAGACAAATCGTTAGTGAAAATACTTAGATAAAAATTCAATTTGTTTACAACAGATTTCTTACATTTACTAAAACATTCCAAGTTTCATGAATACACATACAGTGAATTCAGAATTATCAACAGAGGAGTTTAGAATATTGTTAATGTAAGAAAATCAAAGTGACAATGGAACAAATGTAGAAACCTGGAGAAAAAATAAATAAAGAATATGAATGGACTGAAAATGAAAGAAACGTATGAATTTGGAAGATTATGAAAGGAAAAATGAGCAAAGAAATCTGCAGGAAAATTGGATTTTTTTTAAAGAAAAGAAGAATTAAAATAGTTATAAGTAAATAAAGACAGGAAAAAACTAAATAACTATTGAATTAGATGGAACTTTGTCTAAAGAAAAATAATAATGTGATAATAAAGGTATTCTACCAAAACTATGTACCTTTCTAAACTGAAAATTCACCAAGCAAAACAAATTTAATTTAAATGCATAAAGAGTTAGAAGTATTATGATGATGATGCCAAATTAGCTTCAACTACATATACACTTTTATATTCCTTTCCTGGTGTCTGATTTTAAAAGCTCCAGACAACTACATAACACTGAAAACTTATTTCACTGAATTATTACACTATGGTTATTTTAAAAGGAAGCAGCTATTTATGAAAGTTCAGTAAATTCAATGATGATAAGCTGGTTTGTTTTTTAAAATAAAAGTTGCTTAAAAAAGTTGAAACTATTAGCAAAAATGTATAAAACACTGTGTGAAGTAATGTTTTGATATGACTTTAAATACTAGATCAATAGATGGAATGTTTAATTCAATCACCATTATATGATACAATTAAACTGGGGTTCAATAAAAAAATTCTAATTCTAATGTACAATAATTGTGAAATGCAAGTAAGTTGAACATAATGAAGCACAGAAAACAGCATCAAGCTGTATTTTTATTTTTAATAATTCAAATATCATACCTTGAGATGCAAGTTCATTCCAGACCCTAAAATATAACAAATGGCATCATACTGGCGTTTTTTACACCAACTGTCAATGTTAAGGACCTCTCTACCAAACTTCACTCTAACATCTGGAGCTTCTCCTTCCTAGTATGAAAAAAAACCTATTACTAGATAAAATCCTATTAAAGATCACAGTTTCAACCTGAAAAGGTCCTAACAACAGTTCTAAATGTTGTTTCCAGCATTATATATCGATGAACTAAACCTGTTATACCTTCCATGATGAATTACTTATTACACTTGCACTCCTCTCGCTGTTTAGAATCCAGTCGTACATTTCATTTGAAAAGGATGATAAGCCATAAATTACGTTTATATAACTGAATTCTTTCATATACTGCTTATCACTGTTACATAAAAGATTATCAAAATAAATATCTCACGATGCTTTATATATAAAATTGTAAAAACTTTTGCTGTAATCTAACTTCCGAGTGACTAAATTAATTTTTTTTATCCAGCATCAATTTTATTTAAGAATTGATGACACTACATGTAAGCCTAGCACTGTTTTAATCTTTATAAAGAATTAAATATATATTTGTTATCCAAACACCTGAAGTATTTTGCTGGAAATAACCTAATTTGAAATTATGTAGTGTGTCAGACAATGGCTTATGTACAATGTAACAAAAGTATAAAACATATGACAGATGCACCAGCACTAATAGGTTTGTTTACTGTCATTAGTAAGTAAAATTTTGCTTAAAGTTATATTGCAACTATGCAAGTTACAAAACCATATTGCTTTTGGGAACACAATATGAAACAATGCTTTTTCATGTTAAAATTTCTTTTATAATTTTACTGATTATATATTTTTCCCACTAAGCCCCAATGCTTCACATTAATAAAGTGGACATGCATTCTTCCCCACTTTAGTTTCTAAGACAATTAAATATTATTGAAGTATACAGCAAGTAACAAAGAGACCTACTTAACTTTAATTTTTTCATTGAAAAAGAACAAAATCACATGATTAAAGTTCTGAAATTAAGGTGGCACAACTATTTAAAGTATAAAGTATAATCGTGTTTCCTTCAGATAATTTTAATAAAATGTTTATAACACATTTACCACAGAAAAAATATAGTTCTTGCATATCAGATCAATGGGCCAATTAAGAGACTAACCAAAGCAATGCATGTACGCATAGCAACAGGGTAACCAGAAGTTATAATTACTGTGTTTGTAAAAAATAAAGACAATCTTCAAAAAAAAATTATTTCCAATATATTCAATAATATTGCATTATCCTCATTCTTTCTATGTCTCTTCTGTGATATACAAAAATAGCAAACATCATGTCATTCATCGATGGGGTCTGTAAAATGCACTTGCTGAATAGCATTTACATGTGTTCGAGGGCAAAATTTAAATAGTATCCATCAAAACAGAAACCCTTACTTAAAAAAAACTAATATTTGATTAAATTTGGTAATTTAGTTTTGGATAAAGCATCACCTTTACTTGTAATATACTGTTATATGAATCATCTTAAAAAAAGGACTGAAGAAAGGCAACAAAGAATATAAAATTCATATTTTATATCTGCACCACATAGGCCGTACCAATTCATATAATTTTTAGTTTGGTAATAAAGTGGAAGAAGGTATTTCAATGAATATAAATACATATATATTTGCAATATGCATTATTTCAGTCTTTATAATAGGAAAAAATGTAAAGTTGGGCCAATGCATTATTCATGTCTACTAGTCTGAATCTAGTACATCAAAAATTTTTACATCCCTACAATGCGAAACAAGCAATAAAATTAATTCAATACCCTCTTAATAAATACAAACTAGAGCTATGTGACTAGAAAAACAAGTATTTCACATTTTACTTTGATATCCATCCACTAAAAATATCAAGGTATACATTGTATCAGCTTGGAACAAAATATTAAATGCATTCCTTTTCATTTGTGTTATACAAAACATCACATTTTTTATATGAGAGGCAATATCTACGTATCCTCATCATTATTCTAATCTTGTCACACTTTGAAATAAATTATATCCACCTTTGTGCCTCTTTTTATCCATAATTGCTGGGGATTTTACTCCATAGTTTAACTGTTTTTTCCCACTTGGAGAATTTTAGATAATATACACACATTCACATATATATCAAAGTTAAATGATATTTCTGAATAAGTACCTATCAGTATTTATAACACTTTATAATCTAATTTCAAAAAAAATCAGTTACAATAAATCTAAGAATTTGTTTTGGGTTAAAACGTTATTTTTTTAAAACTTTTATAATCCTAGAAGAAAAAATGAAGCGTTTAATGCAATTAAATGGTGCCATTCGGAATTATGGATATTACACAGAATAATTCTAAATTTGACAAATCACTTCAAAATCCTTTTTTTTTACAGTATCTTACATATGGCTTAAAAGTAAGTTTGAATATAAATACCGAGGTACTCATCAACCAAATGGTTAGAATAATTTTCAAAGTATTACCAGTTGTTTATAGATTACAAAACTTATAAACGTGCTCTATGTATAATATTTTCTAAATGCAAGTTTCTCTTTCAAACAAAAACACTTAAAACAACACACCTCCACTGCACGCAATATATCTCGGAAACTAGATCTTTGTTGTCGACGATCTTTTTTAGCACGAAATTTATGACTGTCAGTAGCAAGTTGTCGTAATGTTTCACAAAGATTATCAACGTTTTCTATTTCAAAATCCTAGAAAAAAATATTATTAGCATTTACTTGAAAATAAATAGTAAGGTACAATATTTCATAAAGAAATTTACTTTAAAATATTAAAACAATACTTAGAAGGAAATATAGTCTTGATAGTTAAAATGCTATTGCCCATGTAATACCCAACCTATAATTGTATGTAATTGTAATAATGTTAATACCATAAAATTAGATTTGCTTTCATCAGGAACAAACACCAAAATTGTTCAATGAGAAAAAAAAAAATAACTACAATACGTTTTCTTTCAAAATAACTAGAAAAATAAAATGAAAGACGTTTTTGGGTTCCGACTATTTCAAAATGACCACGATGATTTTTGTTGCCTGTATACTTAACAAAACTACAACTAAAGTGATTAGTAACTAAAAATTAATTTGGGTTTGTGGTAAATGCCTGTCACAATTTACTAACATTATTTCACCATTGCCTATAAACCACAAATCCTTAGTATTCATGGGAGAAACTTTTTACTGTGCTCTACCACACAATGAAGGATTCCATTAAAACATTTCACTTATCTAAAATATAAGGTTCAATATCTTAAATTTTACAACATGATATACTTACTGAAACACTTGTACCATTAATCTATATTAATAGTTTTGTTTTGAGTTTACTTACTGATTAAGTATTATTTTATTACAAGTTACAGCTTTTACAGTAAGGAAGGTTTGTAGCTGTGTACTTTAGAATGATCACACTAGTGATCAAAATGTCATACCTCTTCTAAAGACAAATCTTCCTTACAGTAAATTGTAATAAAATAACTGTTCTATATTGTATGCTTTATTTTATTACAAGTTACAGCTTTTACAGTAAGGAAGGTTTGTACCCGTGTACTTTAGAATGATCACACTAGCCTTACAGTAAACTGTAATAAAATAACCGTTCTATATTGTATGCTTTATTTTATTACAAGTTACAGCTTTTACAGTAAGGAAATTTTGTACCTGTGTACTTTAGAATGATCACACAAGTGATCAAAATGTCATACCTCTTCTAAAGACAAATCTTCCTTACAGTAAATTGTAATAAAATAACTGTTCTATATTGTATGCTTTATTTTATCTTACCAGTACACATTATGGCAATTATGAAGTTGTAGTTAAAGTAGCCACAAACCAAAATTCTATTTTACTTTCGTCTTCTTCCGGTTTGTGACCGTCTTAGTATACAGCCAAAATCTGTTGTGGTGATTTCGAAAAAATAAGAACCTGAAAAAATCTTTCATTTCAGGTCATTTTGAAAGGGTCAAAATACATCATTATACTATCTCTTCCAACTGTATTAAAATGTTTAATACGAGTCTTGTGATTCAAAACAAAGGTGTAGTAGGAAATGTTTTAACACCATTAGAATTCAAAGTTAAATCCTAATTGTTTAGTTCTTCATTAGGCAACTTCCTGTATAAAAGATGTATTTGTCAGTTCTTGTGTACTAATGTTTTCATACCTTTTCTAGAATAACTTTTAGTCATAGTGCATTGTTTATCTCGTGATTAATTTCAAAGGTTTGTAATTCCATTATACTCTGTACCCCCACCACCAAATAAAATAGTTAAATATGCCATGTTGTTATAAAAAAGATTAATTCAAGTAAAAGTATATATCTTACCTTAGGTTTTTAAGTTTTCAAAACTTTAAGCAACAGATTAACTCCAAGCTTGAATAATAACATCACTATTTTTCCTTTTGATTAATTTGAAACATAGCTAATATATTATATAATTATGTTTCAGTTATACTGTCATCTATTTTTCTGTAATTACAATAACTACTCTATATTGATTTTTTTTTACTTTGCAAGCATTACTAATTGTTAAAACACATTTGTTTCATCTTGAACCACTTACAGGCCATTTCCTTGACTCCAAAAAAACTAATGAATGGACAAAGCAACTTGAACCAGTAGGTTAAAACAACCAAGTTTCAGTAATTATTAATAATAGTTAAAAATTACTACAAGCTGTATTTATTTGTGTTATATTTATACTGTTAACTAATGTGAATATTTTTATATACCAAGTCCAAAAGACTATTATAATTTTGAAGGTAATTGATGATTTCTAACTGCTAAAGGTTTAAGATTAGTTCATTGTGTGTATTATATTAAATACTATAAGGCAGCTCATCAGCTAATAACGATGACTCAGTGAAGATTAAATGTCCCCCCTCCTAAACTTATTTATATTTATGCTAAAGATGGTCAACCTATATTTTAACAGTTCATTTAATGTTATTACATTATGTACATACACACATTAAAAGAAAAAGCACAATTTTTTATCAATTTCATTTTGAAATATAACTAAAAGAACAAAATATTAAAATAAATGAAAAATTGTCAAACTACACAAGACTAAGCTATAAGCAACAAAGGAATTATAAAAAATGAGGCACTAATAGAATTATTTTTAATGTTTTAAAAAACAAAGTTATTTAGACTGAAAATTCATGCACTAACATCCCAAGTAGTGGCAACGAATAGCATGACTGTACTGTAGAAACATGTTACAGATTTTTTTTTTTGCTTATGAACCTTGCATTTAGACATGTAATCAAGCCTACTTCAAGCTAACAGTGGAGCAGAAGTTGACAGAACATGAAATATTATTCTGGTACATATCCACAATTATAGTTTCTATGTATTCCTTTTCATTTCCTTAAATCTAATTTATGTAGTAAAAAACCTAAATTTATGTTACTTTCTAATGCATGGCTATCCACATGGAAGACAATGAAAGAAAGTAATAATATGGGGAAAGCATATCACTTTACTTGATGTAATGTTTATCCAATTTATCAAGTTTCCTTTCAAAGTAATGAAATGTTTATGATTTTCAAATACTTTGTGGCCTGGCTGTGTTATCTGCTAATGAATAAGTTAGCATATAAAATAAGAAGTACACCAAACACTCTGGAAAACTTCTAAAAGAAACAGTTGAGGATTACTGCCATAGAACACAAACCACTCGTTCTTCTCGAATCACTTCATACAAGATGGCAATTGCTTCTCCTGCTGCTATTCTTAATTCCAAGTCAGGACTTTCTAGTAATTCTGGTAACTTCTTCAACTGACTATAAAATATTCAATGAAGAAAAACAACAACATATGAATGTTCATAAACATACTTATTACATGTGTACAAGACTTTCTCAAGTAAATTTTCATTTAAAAAAAGGGAGGGATGACACTCTTAAATAACTGAAATTTCATTTTCAGTAGGCATATTGTGAAAATATTAGCTACCCAATAATACCAGCCACAATAAGAATGAAACTTAAAACACATATAGTATACATACATTTGATATTTTTCAAGCATGTTTATGCTACAAAAAAAGAAGAAACTTTCAGAAGTTAAAAATTTGTGTTCAGCAGTATTTTTTAACTATTTCTTGCACTTGTAAATCAAAACTTTAAAAAAATAGGAATGTTTTCTATTTGTAGGTGCACCAGTCAGTGAATAGTTTACAAGAAAGATTTAAAAGATTTTAAGAGTTAAGATTTTTGAAATTCATCACTCACCTGCAAATATTTATTCAATATAATAGTTTCTGAAATATAATTAAGCCCTCCATTATGTTTGAATGCATGTAGACGTGATAATTTCTTAAAAGTGCATCCAGCAAAGAAGTGATTGCATTAATGTACACGTATTTGATTGCACATTTAGTTTACCTTTCTGCCAGTTCTATAACTTGTAAAGTAGAGGAAATGGTCACAAGTAAACTCCAGGCTAACAAGGCATGGCTATGAAGAACTACTAATTCTGGGGCATGAGAAGGAACTGCTCCATTGCCTTTTAAAAATGATGCACTAAATATTGAATGAAGCAACTGCATGGTAGACTGAAGACTCTGTCCAGGGAAAAAAATAATTATTTACTACTCAAGTTTTTCACTACATATAACAGAAAATATAAAAGTAATTTTACTTATCACAAGCTATGAATTTTTCATGTGTAAACTTCTTCTAAATATATAGTAATGTTTCTCAGTTGTTATACAAATCTTGTGTACTAGTTTATGTCTGATATCTTGAAACTGGGTTAATATGTGTAATAACTGGCTTAGAACAGGTTTTTAACAATATACATGTAAAAAAACTGATTGTTTACCAAACAAAAATTCTGATTTTGAGTGTAAAACAAATAACCCACACCTACAAAAACATTAATAGTCATCAGTGCAATTATTGCAAATGAATTAACTGATAATTTCATCTTTCCATAATAGTTTAGAATATATCTTAAGCAAGGTATGTTCAGTTACTTTTTCTAAATTTTCATGTAAGCATTTTGGATGTAGTTATTGAATTATTTAAATTAAACGTAGAAATGTTGCAAACATGTATTAATCCTCTTGCTTAGATAAAAGTTACATATGGCAATGGCTATCTTACGGAGGCTTATACCAGTTTGATACACTGTCTGTATTCACTCCCTAGTGCATGCCATGCCTATCTCATTAAGTGACACATATGTTTGTAAAATTTGTTATGATGTGAGAGTTCTCTTCTTTGTAATATATAATTTGAAACAGTTAGTGACATAGGTATCCATGGATTATAAGATACTGCACTTCAGCCCTTTGTTTGACTTAAAAGTGTCATACAATATCATTCTTTCTATCCTTGTCACATGCAAACATTTTGGAAATCCTTCTTGTTCATCCCAGCAGCCACTACAGTCACAAAACAGTTTGCTTTGTAATAAACATTAACTTTTACCTAGACTTTTTCTGCACTGAACTATTATGTGATAACTAAAATTTAAAAAATGTTGGCTGTAACAAGAAAAATCAAACATTATGTGATGTCACTCAGATCCCTCAGTTCATTTTTAGGCAAATAATGCATTTTTATTATCCTAATATCATTTGAAATGCAAATGACTGGTCATACAGTCTACAGTTGTAAATGAACATTTGGTAGATGACTCCACATTTCACTCCAATTTGGAGCATGGTCAACACAAACAACAAGGGAAATGGATACTGTATTATTAAAATCAGTGCTCATAAAGTTGTGAAGTATCCTTGACCACTCCTTTGAATATTATTCTAATAGTATGTTTAGAATCATGTGATGGAATGCAACACGAATCCAAAGAGTATTCAAAACATACTTTATACAACCCAAGGCCAAAGAGTGTGCAGACCACTCCATTTGATTGTCACTCCCATCTTCTTCAAGGAATACGTCAATGAATTTAAGACAGCAGAAGAGGTAGTGTTATTATTTATTAGACTGAAGTTAGGTCCAGTTATACCAGCATATGGCAGCTCAGAGTCCCAGAATGTGGTTTTTATAATGTGTTGCATTAATGACACCATTACACAAAATGTATATTTCAACAATTCTAAGAATTCTTATTTTTGCCTATACCATACTTCTTCCATCACCATAACAAAGATTTCTGTATGAAAATGAGGTCTGGATTTGGTTCCACATTCTCTCCAAGTAAGCATACCCTTCTTTCGTAAGATGAAGATTTACTTTTCAGTAAAAAATATTGTTATTTGCCAAATGTATTCTTAGCATCATTTCATATGAGCCATTCTTTGCCTTTCTGGTGATTGAATGCACCTCATAATGTGTATGGGATACAGGTTGGCCTAGTGAAATGTTTATAACCACCAATATGCTGATACAGTGACCAGTTGTAGTTGTAAACACTTGATTCAGTCTCAGAGCACGCAGTCTACAATGTGGTAAGCCAGAACCAACACACGTCAGTCATCTGCTTAAGATAAAGATGATGATCTGCCTAGTTCAGGTGTCCAAAGTATTATACCGTTGGTTGGAACAGTTCCATATTATCCTAATGATACTTTGAAACATTTGCAACCAAACTGTAGCAGCCTATTGTGATAAACCTTGTAGTGTTTGTAATTAAAAAGTTCAATGACAACAGTAGACTACTAAAAAAAAAGTAGAATATGGAGAGCAAATAGATAAAGAAAGTTACAATAATTGATAACTTAATGGTACACAGTTTGGTGAACTCAGTAAAACAATGCATGCAACAAGTGGAATGTTAAAATCAAATGCTATCACACTACTTCAAAAGCTTTCAATAAAATCTAATAGTATGGTTTATTGTTAGAAATGTAAATGAAGTGAAATAACACAAGAAACTTTAAAATAAGTGGTTTGTATACTTTCATAGCTGCAAAGGAAAATGGCTGTAACCTAAAAAAGCTTTTTTTAGACTGTAAAGGGTTATTCAAAAGTCAATTAACAAGCAAGTAATTCAGAAATGGAGAGGTACAGGAAAATAATTGTTAGTAGTACAGAAAGAGGTGTAGGCATAACCTAAGACAATATCACTGAGGTCATTCAAGGTCATCTTTAAAGTAATACAAGTTTAACAAACTGAATAAAGAAATGCAAAAATTAATTTTAACTTCAACAGAAAGAGTCTTTATTCAATCCATTTAGGTACAGAGGCTTCAGTTTCAGAATTATTCAGTTTTTAAGTTATCTTTTGCTAACATCTGACACTGTGTAAATGAGTCTAACTACACAAACTGCTGATATCATGGTCTGAACTGCTAACATACCATTAACAAAAATGATTATTGTTTTGTTTACTTTTTAAAATTAAATGTTCAATAATTCGGTAATGGAGGCAATGATTTCTTTAACATGTAGTGTAAATTGTACTTTGATACCACATCAAATTAATAAGCAAATCAGCAAATAAAAAATTATCACTCACTACCAATATGCCTATGGTATGGCAGCCTTATCATGCAATCGTTGCTGTTATTATGTCTACAAAACAGCCAAGCAGAGATATGACAGATTCTTACACGATTTATTTTCTCCTAGACAAGTGCCAAATCAGAAATAAGTGCTAAAGAAGCAATTTATAGATACTTTTTGGATGCAGATTTACTGGAGAAACCATAAAATGTTTCAAATTAAACAGTATGTGAAACAAGTACATTCATAAACCAGCTCTTGTCCTAAATATTTGTTACAATGTCTCTAAAACTAACAGGAAACAAGTAAAAACAAATATATCACAGAGAGCACTTACACTGAATTCTATCACATGTATTATGTGACTTTATCAACACCTTATTAAATATAATACCAAAAGTAGTAGTATTTTATACAAAAAAAAATATGATTGGAATACTTACACCAACACCAGAATTTGTTATGAAACTGTATATTCCTAGGGCAGTTGCACACTGTAATGTCAAAATATTTGAACAAACATTAATTAAACTCTGAAGTGTAAAAGAAAAGAAAGTTCCAAATAATTTTTTTTATAAGTTTCTCAACCCATATATATCAGCACATCATGAGAATCAGTTGATTTTTAATTTAAAAAGAAAAAAATTTATGTTTTGCAAAGCAATTACCTTTCAATGCTTATTCCAAGTTTCATAATTTTGCATATTATATCCCATACAGTTTAAATGTTCACAGGCTACCTAGTGTGTCAAACAACACAATTTTAAAATAAAGTTTGTGTGGTTTCTCAGCTGCAAAGAAAATGACAGTAACCAAAAATATAATGTATTTTTTTTAGACTTTAACAAGTTATTCAGAAGTCCATTAATAGGCAAGTACTTTAAAAATAGGGGTACAGCAAAATAATTGGTAATGGTGTGGAATAAGGTGTGAATAAGGTGTAGGCGTAATCTAAGGCAACATTATTGAGGTATTTAAAGGTCATCTTTAAGGTAGCGTCTGTCAGAAAATAATTATTAAGCATAAGTCATCCACGGTGGCAATAGTAAAGGTGTAGATAATAACAAATGAAACATATTACAAAATAGCTTTGTCAAAAGTGTTGCCCAAGTGTGGAAAATACCAATATGGTGGCTTCACTGTCAATACCACTTACCGTTCTCAGTCTGCCTCCATGGTATCTATACATAAATGAGATCGTAGCATTCAGCTGCTGATACACATTTCCGATCATGTGATGTGAAAAAAGACACTCATCTGGAATTCATTAGTGGTTTAAATGTTTCATTTGTTACTGTCTACACCTTTGCAGTAGACATTCTTGGTGTAAGATGCATATTACTAAGTTTTGAAGAACATTTTCTGGAAATAAATTGTAAATTACCTCAATATTGTAAGAAAGTAGGCACAGCATACATCTTTCCACACCACTAACAATTACTTTCTATATCTATCCATTTCTGAATTGTTTGCTTGTCAGTGGGATTCTAAATATCCTGTATATCTATATAAATAGTACTAAAGTATCAGTAAATGAGAACCACACACATTACTGTATACATTTAGTAGAAGTTAAATTTCCAAAGAAACATTTTAATATGAAAATTATAGACATTTCAAACAATAAACAATTTCAGATGTTTAGCTCTAGAAAAATAAAATATAAAAAAGCACACAACTGTATCTTACTAAGCATATTTATAGCACTTAAGTACTTTTTTTTTTCAAATAGCTGTGAAATACTGATATTTTTCTCTTTCATTTATAGCTTAAAAAATAATGCATCATATTGTGCTCCAGATAAGATTCTTATCCACATAAACATGCATTATAAATAAAAACTGTATTTATCAAATATTCATAATACTTGCTGGTATGTTTTAGTGTGTATTTTCCAACTTAAGACCAAATAAAACCCGTATCAGTAATAAAAGAAATATAATGCATGGGAGATCATTCTCACCATAAACCAACTGTCAAGCTATACAGTGATTATTAGCTGATGATTATCTGTAGTTCTGGGTTATAGTTGAAGTAAAAATAATAACAGTCTAGTTTTATCAATAAATGTCAACAAATGCTTACTGTGTTTAATTTACACTATAATTGCCTTGGGGGGTGGTCCTTAATAGGACATTCATATGGAAATAAAAATATCAGGTACCTAGTAAATACAGAAAAAGTGTCAAATGACAGGTGTATGATAACAAAAAAGAAAACCGAATCTCAAAAACATGCAAGTTTTCAGCACTGAGTTTCATTTTCAGCATTGCGATATATTTTGAGGAGTAAACTACACAGTACATCAAAAGTTTATCTGAACTGCTATGCATATGTACAAAACATCCCACTTCCAAAAATTATTATTATCAAAATACATCCAAAACATTAAAACAGTGTCTATAATAGCAACATTATTATGTTTAAAATCTCTAAGTTAGAAACAAACATCTCTGACTGCAGAAAATTTATCTATAAACTTTTTACAAAACAGAAAAATTTAATTTCTACTCAGAAAATCCTACCAAAGC